AAATTTGATTTGCAAAAATCCCACCCCTATTCTTCTCTCAGCCATCCCGCTTCTGTATCAAACACCCTACCAATAGCCATCATATAGGATCTCCTTTAAAGACCAGCTTCAGCGTTACAACTCTCTCTCCATTAGGAAGAAATGAAGTAATTCAGCTCTCTGCCTGGTCCCGAAGGCTTCCACGCTGTAGTGGAAGATGAATTGCACCGTTGCCTTTTATGACTACTGCAGTGTAATCATACTAAGACTTTACAAAGTGCCATACATCTTCAAAGAGCTGTATGTCCATTAGCTTAATAGCACTGTTCAACACAGGAAATCAAGCAATAGTGCAAGATGGGGAAAAAGAGTACACATTTTCCTGCATCTGAAATACAACTGAGTCTACGTGGGAGTTTCATTCCCTTTTCAGTGTCATAGGTCTTTGGATACAGCTGAGATGAGCACAGCCCCTGTACTCTGCAAGACAGAGTGCAAGTGAGAGGAAGGTAGGACCAGATTACCACCACTGCACTAATAAATATCCCAAATTAACCAAATGGTGCGCTAAATGGACTCTAAATAAATCTCCTGCACCCTCTGCTGGGGAGAGGGTCATGGCTGCACAGCCCGGCACGCCAATGCTGTCCTGGATGCTGCCCTTTCACAAGAGATTAATCTAAAAGTGCTTATTTTAACAGGGAAATACCAGCAGGGCTGTAGAAAAATTTGTTATTTTATATAAAAATATAAATCAGGGCAGACCTGAGCATACCCTAGGCCTGAGTCCCTGCTCTGGTACCCCCCTCCCTTGGCTGGTAGACCCCACATTCACTGAGGGGTGGGCAGCTGTACCTACAGGTATCTGAGCTGCCGCATGATCAGGGACATCAAGTCACCCACAGCAAAACTAGATGTGAAAATCAACTGGGGGAGAGAAGACAGGACTTCCCCCCGCCCCAGCCTTTCCTGCCATGCTGAATTAGAAAGCCTGCAGATGCCAGATAAGAAGGAAGCTTTGAATAATATATTCGATGCTATCAATAAATCATGGAATAAAACTAAAATGGTTTTCCTTTCCTACCACGCTCAGCTTGAAGGGTAAGAGGCCAGGAGACACTAATACTTGAGTCTTTGGTAGTCACCCACCCAGCAGCTTTAAACACTTCACAGAATACCCCATTTATTACAAGAATACATATTTTGCAGCATTTAGGGAACCAAACTCACCGAATGCCTTTATTTTTGCCAACAATTCCATTTCTACTCTACGAACAGCAAGGGTGAGACATCCTAAGGGAGACCTCTTAAAACTGGGGAAGACCCCAAACTTTGCCTGTGTTTTTCCCTTATTGAGAAGAAACGAAATCCAGATGCTCTGCACTGAGCTGAGCTGGGGTTGTGGGCACAGATTCTGGGAGCAATCTCCTGCTTTTGCCAAGAGCGAACAGCTCCAAGGCGGATGGTTATAAGGGGTGCTTCCCTGGGGCTCCCCAGAAGCTACTGTTTGTCTGGTTGGTGCTTATCTATAATTACCGAGCAGGTAGGTGACTTTCTGGACCCTGAGCTGGAAAGGGGAGCAAGTTATCCTGCTCCCATCTAGGTGATGCTCTGCAGCAGCAAGCGGGTTTCCAGCGCGGTGCTCGGCAGCGTGTTTGCTCTGCCATCTAGGGTCCAGGCTGCACGCCGCCTTCCTCACCAAGAGGAGCCCTGACTTTTCTGCAGGGTGAACTGGAGAGGACAGTTCAGCTTTGAGCCCCTCTGGAGGGAGTGCATGCAGTGCGTGTGCGCACCGATGCGCTGCTCAGGGGTGAGTTAATGCAGGTGGTTTTGGAGCGGTGCCACTGCCTGGCTCACCGGGGGAGGGACACCCAGAGGTGTCGCTACCTCCTTCAGTCATGTCACTCCTGAGCAGGAGCTAATTTGTCTGAAGTTACTTTTGTATTTACTATTTCAAAGCCTTTCCACCCAAGGAAAATATGTGTCCATGTGCTTGCTCTGGTGAAGGCCTGTTTGTGCATAACAGGGGGTTGGGATTACGTGGTGCACCAGCTCTCCCAGTTAATCTATCATGCCTCAGTGTGCGCTGCCATTTGGTTTAACCACTTAATTAAAACTGCCTTAACTGATTTATATTCACCGGCTCCTTCATTCTCTGATTTCAGTGAAAGCTTCAGCTGAGTCAGAAGGCAAAGAATAAAAATCACATTTTAGTATTTCTCTTCAAATCAGGACCCGAAAAGACACGGAGACTGTGTTTGGATCTTAGTGCAGAGAATCAGCCCCAAACCTAGGGATTTATTTTGTGGTTAAAAGGGAATTGAGAAGAAAGCTACAAAATTTAAAGAACTGACAGATCAACAAAAACCTCATGTTAGTGCTGATGAGTGTCAGAGGAAAAGAAATGGCCAGCATTTCTACTCATTTTTGGTACTAGAAAGTTGGAGTGATAAAGTGTGTCAGTGCAGCTAAATCATTTGTTCAATAAATTGTCAGGAAATGTGCAATTGATAGATCTGGTCATGGGGGAGTACCTGGGACTGACTCATCTGAGGCTGAGAAATCCCTGAAAGCCAAAGGGGAAAGAGGAGCTCTAGGGCATTTGTTTGTTTTCTTTAGCATCTAAATTTAATGGTTTAAAGCCTAATCTTACTGGCTTTTCAGTTATATCCAAAAATCTCCTCTCCATCTCTGACTTACCTCCTGTTAACAGTCTTTCAAGGGCAAGGACATAAAATATTTGCTCATGAATGCTGTGTAAAAAAATCTCATGTGCCATTATTCACCAAATTCCTTATCTGTGCCAAATGACATAATCTTGTAAAGTGTGTCCTGTGCCCTCTTCCTCTTCCTTCCACATCATTTTATGTCTGTCTTTCTGTTTAGCTATGTATTATAAACTTCCTTACACAAAAAAGACTGACCACCTTGCTGGCAAAGGTTTCTCTTTCCAGAAAGATACTTTATGCCCCAAACCACCATTAGGTTACTGTTGATGGAAATAGGAGAGAGCTGCCAAGAAGGTCATAAGGGTAAATTATACCCCAGAGCAGTGCTGGAGTAGCATTAAATGGATCAGGGAGATTTCATTCATGGTTCTGCCACTGAGTTATTGCAGTTTTGGAAAGGAAAAAGGTTTTCTGTCCACCCAGAGCTGGAAATCCAAATGCTGGAGTCAGGTGCTATTGTGATCAAAAGCTGGAGTTGACTTTTTTTCACCTTGGACTGAGAAGCTCCAGGTGTCTTAAATGGGTTGTCCAAAAGTAGGAGTGAGATTTTACAACTTGAGTCTCCCTCTTGTAACAGCTCCTACTTAGCCCTCCAGTGAATAAGGAAGAAATGTTTCTTTAATTTTCAAGGATAGTATATGGTTTAATTAGTCAGAGAACAAGGCACTGAAATACCCAGACTGGGATTCTGCTTAGGAACGGAGTTTGGCAGAATTTTTGGCAATGAGTTCATCATGCAGAAGTTCATACCAAGTCACTGCATATACAATCCCAAATAGCTGTGCTCGTTTGGGAAAACAACTTTTGCTTAACTTCTTAAACCATCTGCTTCTGCAGTTAGGGTCAGGGGCCTGTAAACTCGTATGGGAGAGTCCCCAGGTTCCCACAATATCATTGTGTTATTGCACCTCCCCAGCACCCAGTTCCTGGTATCTTGATAGACCACGGGGCAAAAAGCACTGAGGGTAAAATACCCCCGCCCAAACAATTTGAATAAAAATTATTTTCCCTTGAGGAGGTTTAGCTGTGAGAAGACCAGGTAGATATGTTCCTATGATAGCCAGGGCAATTGCAATCCTAGGGAATTTGGATGGTTTGTATTCATATGAATTTCTCCTAAGGCTCCGGCATTAACTTGTGCTCCACAAAAAAGGGACATTTACCACTGCAGGGAAAAAGGTCCTCCTGATTTTTCTCCAGACCAGGCTATCTGGGTGCTGGAGGACAAATGCCAAGAAAAAGCAATGCCTCCTGCGTGGTCTTCCCTGTTGGCTTGGTGAGTGTGTGAGCCAGGCGGGGACCGGGGCTGGCCCCACCGGCACCCCTGCGCCAGCACGCCAACACGCCGGCCCGTTCGGATGACAGAGGAATCTGATTTAGCAAGCTGAGAACTTTCCTGCTTATCTCACTGGTGTGAAACGTAACGAGGTAAAATATAACGATGTTATTTAAGTACACCTTAATGTGCCGTATCCATTGGGAAACGCTTGCACCTGGCCTTCTTTAATAGCTCTGAGCAGGGCGGGAGCTGCTGAAGGCGTCGAGCCAAGTCATCTGGTACAACCAGGGGGATGCTGTGCCTGAAGCAAACTGTTTATTCTGCCAAACCTCTTTCACTGCCTTGTCCAAATGACTGGCAGGCTTTTTAAAATCCAGGCACTGGTTCATCTAGATTCTCGTACTTCATCCTTCTGGAAAAAAATATCAGCGTGGCAGGAGGGATTTTACTTTTTCCTCTTCTCATGCAAAATGGAACTGCTGTTTCATCAGCCAACTTTGTTATGGAAAATATGTCAGGCCATCCACTTCGCTCCTAGAGAGCTCTCCAGAATCCAGCATGTGCTTTCTTAATTTAGGACTGATGTCTGCTAAGCAAGATAGCTCATGGGAGAGATAAAGGTCCCTTTCCAGTGCCATTCCTTGGCTCTGAGACCACTTCGATGACACCAGCCTCAATTTTTAGCACGGTGATAAGGAGCTGTCACAGGGGGCAAAGAGCTTTGGTAACTATCCTTTATCTGTCAGGATGTGGCTAATGACTAACCTTAAGAAAATCAATATTATTAAAGAACTCTGAAGGGACAGTGTTCTTGTAACTGAGGGCATTTGAAATTTATGAGCTTGATTTTATACATCAGAAAAAAAAAATGTTTTCTAATGTCAGAAATAAGAAAGGGAGGTGAGAAGCTTTAATGCCAAGAAGGGTCAGGCCATCAGTCGCCATCTCCCTCCTCTTCACTAGCCATTAAATATGTCCCCAAAGCACCAAGAAATCACCAGAAATAAACGAAGTGAACAGAAGTGCAAAGAAAAATAAATGTGTATTTCATCTCATGAAGGTTAAATCTCTGGTATTTTTACTGAATGCAAATTTTCCATTCTGATGCTTTGAGGCTTAAATTAATGATTGTGATTATTTAATTTTCCTCCATTTCCCTTCCAATTGCAACCGTCACTGTTGTTTTTAATATCACACATATACAGTTTTGCAGCTGCCACAGTCGTTCACGTGAAGGTACACGCTGTATCACGCTCAACGCTTCGGTGTAAAAGTCTGGGCTACATTGCTCTTCTGCAGTGCTAATGTAAAACCATCTGTGACTGTGCCATTCGGCTTCTAGCTATTAGAAAACTACAGGTCATTCCCTTGGCATCTGTCCCTATAAAATGTACATTGCACAAAGTCATGATTGAAATGTACAGAAGAAATTACACATTCACCAAAAAAAAAAAAAAAAAAAAAAAAAAGTCCGATTGCTATTTTACAAGAGAAAGTGTGTACCATTCAATACATACAAAATGTTTTAAAATTGTACATAAGTACCAAAGGCATTATGAGAGATTCTTTGGAGATGAAACGAAAGTGCAAAAAAGCCAAGGCAACGGAGCAAACTAAAGGAAGCAAAGCAGCAGCTGTCTTTGCTTTCTAAAGGACAACCAAACTTTTATGCTCAACTGAGCCCCAGATTTTTACGAGCGGGAGGCGAGGGCGTGCAGCTCCTGCACTCGCGCCAAGCGAGAACGGCCTGTCCCGGTGTGACAGTCACCTCTCAGCTCACCGTCAGGACAAATGCATGAATCATTTTTAGCCTAGAAATGAGCCAGATGCTGTTATAAGCCACAATAGCTTCAAGGTATCTCAGGGAAACAGCAACATACTCCAGCAACGGAGGTACCCTTTGCTTAGAAACATATTTGGGACTGAAGTGGTTCTTACAGCAGATAATTTTGGATCTAGAGATGAATTTCAGGCCAATGCAAAAATCTGAATACTCTTTTGTCAATGGTATCCAGCAGTATTCAACTGGAAAAGTTAGGTATTCGTGTGTTTGTTTATTTAAACACTGAAGGATAAGTTCTACACAATATAGATCTTATACCTGTGAAAATATGGGCAAAATTAAATCCTAGAGGATGATTCATTTGATGAGGTTGGTGAAACCTCTGTATAGGGGCAATCGGAGTCTGCAGACTGGCCTAACCGGAAAATCAGATTTATTGATTATAACTTTGTCATTTCTCTCATAACTCCAAGATCTAAAATTGGCTTTTGATGACTCTTTTTCTTAAATGTCTCTTAACTAGGGGCTTTTTTAAATACGTAGGCAAAGGTAAGAGCAGGACCCAGACGGCAGCAGGATCCTCTGCCCGGGCAGGAGCCCATACCGAGGCGATGCCAGGATTGGGGGAGACCGTGGCACTGCCCCTCGGCCAGCACCACTGCCGTCGGGGTCACCCCCTCACAGCACGTAAAGCCTCTGCCCTCGGCTCTCCGGTGGCGTAGGACAAACTGTTTGGCCACCCGCCCAAGGAACGGGCTTTTTGGTTTGGACTCGGAATTGGCACTGGCCGCTATATTCTTTTGTTTATTTGTTTGAAAGGAGGACAAAAAAAAATATCGTTTAAAGCAACTGCACGGCCCGCGCCGCCTCCAGAAGTGGGATTTCTCCTTGGGATGGCGGTTACACATCTTTGCAATCTTCCTTTGCGATAGAAATACATTATTGAAATAGTCTTTTGTTTTGGATTTACTCACTCTCCCACCTCCAAAAAAAACCCCAAAACTTTTCTTCCCCCTCTGCATCTCAGATGCAGCTTTATCTGTTTTGAAGTGTGTGTGTGCATGTGTTTGTATACAGCAATACAGATATGCATGTACACAAAGAACATGAACACACTTCTGCAGCCAAAGTTGTGTTGTCCTTTTATCTTACAGGTTATGACAAAGATAAACTGTGAACTTCATTCAATCTGTACAGAATTTACAGTTCAGATGACTAGCAATGAAGAATATATAGAAATACAGTAGTTCTTAGGTATTTTCGGGCTGTGTGTCTTTTGTTCAGGTATTTTTTAAGTAACATTGCAGAGGCAATCTCACTTATTTTAGCTTCCTGGTTAAATCTGCTTAAAGAAGCATTTGAATGCAGTGTATTTCTTAACAAAATAGGATCTTAATTTTTCTCTTTTCCCAGTTATTAGTGAGTCACTTCACAAACTAGGCAGGTAACACTTTGTTTGGTGTCTGCTCAACGCACATATGCTTATTACATGTAGTGATACCTATCAGCATTTGGCATGTAATGTGCAATCTGTGTGCAGTATACGTGGATAGTGTGCCAAAGTGACACTAAGCAAGATAAATTTCATAAATACAATGCCTATACTGGAGAAACAGGAATATAGTTTTAGTTGCTGTATAAGAACAGTGGCACCCACCTATATGAATTACTGATAAAAGAATAAAACATTTATAAGAATAATTTATTGAATCTCCTAAAGCATTTGATACATCACGCAGCAACTGCAACTATGTTTAAAATCTGCTCTTGATTTAAAATAACAAAATCTCTGTCGTTTATCAGCTATATCTTGTTTTGCCTGGGTGTTCCTGAAAATCTCAGGTTCTCTACCCTGTGCGTGAATTTTTTGAGAAAAAATGAAGAAACTTCAAATTTTAGGGTTTGGGTTCGGGCAAGGGGGAAGAGTAACCGACACAGTAGGGTCCCCATCCTGCCTGCTGACAGGAGCAGGGGATACCTTCAGCTCCAGGGAAGATGCTGGCCCAGTGTGAATAACCAAGCAGGACAGAAAGACCCGTCATCAGCTTTGATGACCAGCAAGGCTGAACATGGTGTGTACAGAGATGCTAAAGGACTGAGCCCTTTATGTGCACATCTGTAATAAATCCCTCTCATGAGCATCAGTGTATATGTGAAACCCTGGGTCATGGCCACTGTGTTGGTCAGGTTTAAGGGATTATTGTGAAATGCTGCTTCTACTTTTAATGGGAGGTGTCCATGGCATGCTAAATTAAGGAGGCATTTTCTCATCTCGGCTTGCAAGGCTTGAGCATCTCCCCAGGTCCACAGGCATCAGTGTCAAATGAAGCTGAAATTCCAGGGGAAGCTTCACCAGCAGCGTGACATTCAGCCTTGGTTTTGGGCCAAAATCATCCAAACTGGATATTTTGGCATGGCTTATACCTGAAACCATTAAACCTGCCCTAAAATTATAGGTGTAGCTGCAGGTGAAACCTAGCCTAAGCCTGGAACTGAGTTTTGAAAAGCTTTGCAGTTAACTCAAGTTTCTCAGGACTAGGCAGACAGATGCTGCTCAAACAATTCATCTGCGCCTGTATTTACAGGAATTAGGAGAGGGCAAGATGTTTCCAGGTTCACTGGCAGCTTTGGAAATAGCACAACCTGGACCAGCTGCTTTCCGTTTCTCCCTGTTATGGAGCTGGAGCCTGGAATGCAAAACCACAGGTGTGGAGTGCTGGAGGGGACTGGGGTCCTGAAAGCAGCTTTTGCTTCAGGGAGCAAAAGAATCAACACTGTTAGAGTCTGTAAGCTCTACTCTGAGGTGTTCAGCTTGACAAGAAAACCTGAACTGAACCCTCATCCCTGTTTCACCAAGGGGACAAATCCTTACAGGGCGCTGTACAGACTCCATCCCTGCACTGAAAGGCTCCAGCAAGACAAACCAGGGATGTGTTGAGGCCACGGTGGCTCAGTGAGAAAGCAAATAAATTGCCAATAAAAATAAAAACTGTCATGCTAACAAAACATGAAGGCTCTCTGGTGCATCTAGTGATGCCAGGCCAAAAGTAAGTTTCAGAGCAGAGTTCTGGCGTTACGTCTTCACTTGTATATTGTCTGGACAAGGAAGGTGAGGATATGGGACCAGTGTCAAACTAGATTATGGCAGCAGCACGAAGAGATACAAGAGACTGCAAAAGCCAGCGAGGTGGGAAAACCCTGAAGGTCTCTTGACAGCCTGGTATTACAGCAGGGAGAACTGTGGCAAAACATTTATGGAGATAGGAAGGTAGCTCAGCACCTCTCCGTAAGGAGAGTAAAAGATGCTTCCACAAGGAATGGATATGGCACAGCTGCAGGGTCCCTGAGACCCCCAAGGGCTGTAGACAAGGGTGGATGAAATTTCCAAAGAGGGGTTTCCAAAGTTTGGGAATCACATTTCTCCCTGCCCCTTGGGCTGGGCTGCAGGCACAAACGCACATGCACATCAGAGCTGGATGAGGCGAGGGAACCCTAGGGGAATGAAACCAGACATATGGCAACTCCCACACATGGGGGTTCAGTTGTCATCTCCTAAATGAAAGCCAGGCCTCCATCCCTGGCGCTGCCCGCCTTGTTCTGCCTGCTCCTCCAAACCCTCAGGACAGTGTATCTGGGATGCTCTTCTTAGAGGCACCTGGATGAAAAGGAGGTTGTTATACACAATTCATATTTTTTCCTCCCCGTGTGCACGTTTTGGGGAACCACAGGTACAACTGTGGTATTTTTATCCCTTCATTAAAAGAAGTTTCTGCATGCTGTATCAGAGGGATGGGGCAATGATCAGTCGCGGCATGAGAGACACTTGGTATATCAGTGTTACCTACAGAAGCACCGCAGCACCCTACGTGATGGGTCACTGGGAGGACGGCCTCTCCCGAAAATGATGCTTTTGGCAATGTTACCTCATCAGGTACTACAGCAATCTGGGAGTGCAGATACAGCTGGAGCATACTGCTGTCTACTCATCTCAGGCTGCATGCAGTAGTAGGCAAAATTGAGAGTACAGTCAGTGAGATAGTCCGGAAAGCACATTCATACGTTAAAAAGGACCCGGCTGCTCCTTCTGCAGCAGCCGCTCCTTGCTGCTACCTAAAGTATAAGCGTGATTAATACTGTATCAAAATGTGTGTAATCCCTCTCCCTCTAGACACTAATATAAGGCAAGCAGTACTGTGTCACTGGGGCATCAAACACTAAGATATACTAAAGAAGATTCCTATGCATTACTATTATCCTTATTAAAAAACCCCCAAACCCTACTGTTATTATTAAAAAAAACAACTATCCCACACCCGTGCTCTAAGCAGATTTTACTCTGTGACGCAGAAAAGTCAGGGTGTTTGTGTTCCAAAAGCAAGAGTTTGCTTTTACACCGCTGAGCAGCAGTGACCCACGCGGGGCTCACCCCTGTGCCACGGCCCTCCGCATCGCAGCCTCGATGTTACTTGCAGGTGAAGGAGCTTTTGTATCTGATTTCCTTGTTTTAGGCTCACAAAAAGGAAGCTGATGAAAACAGAAGATGCTGACCCATGATGGAGAGCGGGTGAGGGGGGATGCGGGCGTGCAGGTGTGGGTCAGAGGAAAGGGATGGAGGCTCAGGACTCGCTCAACCTCAGGGTTCACACGAGCGTGGATGGAGAAACAGAAATCCTTAGCCTGCTCCTGGGCTTTTTAACATTCCCAATAAAATACTCACTGCTAAGGGTCTTTATATGGGAAAACTCTTGGACAAATTCCTTAGGAATTTCAATTTCTCTTTTAATAGTTACTTTTTGGCTTTAGCAATAATGTTGCTGTGACCATAGTGGTCTGAGGATATAAGGGAAATGAGGTTTGCAGTAGCTCCCTCTTGAGAAAAATACGAGTAAACTTGTTTTTCTTTTCTCTTGGGTAACTGTTAAGAAGGGGAGCATTTGTATCTGAGGTGATGCTCTGGCTTTTCAGGTAGATTATACAAACTTTTTCTAAAAATTCACGTAATTTAAAATCTTAAAAATCAATTCAAAATGTAAAAATATACCTATTTATCTGTAAATAGCAATGATCCTGCAGAATTCAGTTGGATTTATTAAGCAGCATTCAAAACAAAATACATTTTTAGAAAATCTGATCTACCACAGAGTTTGTCTAAAGAAATATAATGGCTTTCAGAGCTGGACAAGACATTTGTTTTTTCAGTGAGTTCCTAAACATTTTTGTTTCAAAAATTATTAACAAGAAAATGAGTCAACAAGGAAATTCACATACAAAATCTGCACTTGAGTAACATTAAAGTCCCTTCCCAAATATTGGGAAATTTGACTTATGGCTAGTGCTCTGTTCCTATGTCTCAGGGTCACATTCTGGAAGGTCACCTGCACAGAGACTGCAACATCTCCAGCCACGGCTCCTGTTTGGACACACGAATCCTCAGACAACTTGAACTCATACTTGGACCTGAAGCACCCAAAAACTGACTGTGGCTTCAGGTTCCCGTCTCAGGGGTTGCTCCATCCCACAGGTGTGGCCATTTGCAGTATTTCTCTGCAGATTTAGACCCAGATTCTGAGGAAAAAAAAAAAAAAAAAAAAAAAAAGTCCAAAAGTTTTTAGGAGGCCAGATCCCAGGCTCTGGTCCAAGGCCAGGGCTTCACATTCAGCACAGAAGCACCTCGAAACCAGGCTCTGCGCACAAACCGGGCATGAGCATGGGCCCCCCCGAAGCAGTTCAAGATGGCCTGCTGGAAATTTGGCTTTCACATCTTCTTTACCTCTCCTTCATCTCCTTTGTCCATGCTTGGCATTGTTTAAAACTTGTTTCTGTCCTCCAAAAAATACAGAACCAGACTGGCGAGGAACAGGGGAGCAAAGACGAGCCCAAGAGAGGCTCAGCAGAGGGACAAAGTTTGCCTGTCCATCCTTTTAAAGGTCTTTATCATTGGAACTGCCTCATTAGCAAAACAAACCCAATTTATTTTCTTTTAATCTAGTGGTTAAGACTTCTTGTGGGAGATTACCACTAGGAGTGTATGATACAGGCATGGGGGAACTGAGAGATTGAAAGTGAAGATTCTGCAGGGAGTACTGGACTATGATTTAGGACAGGGAGGAAACTTTATGTCAATAAGCAATGAGCAGGCTCTGTTATCATTTATGCAGTCATAAATCATTTTGTGGAAATAAGGAGTGTTATTTGGAGTTAATTTTGGTGCAAGTTAACTCCAAAATCCAGGTCTTTTTGCTTGGATGAATAAAGTGATGATTTATGGCATGGTTGTGGATGGGGGCATGTGTCAGAATTTCTTTGAAATAATGCCACAAATAAAAGTGGAGTATTTTTCACACCTTGAAAAAAAAAATTCTATGTGAAATTGTAGCAGCAAGATACAAACTGTACTGCATGTACATAAAATCAGTTTTCTATAATAACTGATTGTGGGACAAATCCAACACTGTTTAAAGTTATGAGCCAGATCTTTATAAACTCTTGTGTGGTAGCTTGTAGAGGGAAAAAATTCTTGTGCAATACCTAGGGGAGGCAAAACACTGCCAGATTTCAGCCTGTGGAAAACTCCAAGGACACAGTGGAACTGCATCTCCTTGGGACACACTGGCAGTATTTGCTTTCAGGGGTGTAACATCATCTGGGCAGGAGAAAGGGATTTTGCAATAAGAACTAGGAAATGGACATTCAAAATCCAGCCAATGGGGCGTCAAAATTAGGATGTGATGAAAACTACATCCTACAAAAATTGTGCCTTGAAGTCCTGTTGACTTTGCCTCCTATATTAAAGACCGGTCACATACTTGTCCTGCAACAGGACCACATGACATCATCCTCATCCTCATCTGGAGTTCCTGCCTTTTTATCATACTCTTCTGTGCCAAATTTCCAGCAAGCCTCAAAAAGTAATTGCAAACAAATAAGATAATAAATCTTCATTATCTCTGACTTGGATAAAATTTGCAGCAAGCAACTAGCTGGAGCAATGTTCACTTTTGCCTCACCCAATCTAATTTCCATTCTTCTGGTCACTGGAAAATACATGCCACCAAGTCTGGTTTGAGACGTGCTGACATTTCTTGCTCTGCTAGAAGGCATCTCATTTTGCAACACGCCAGGGGCAAATCTGCACGATTCGCAGCCATTTTTCATTCAAAGGTATCTCTGTACAGAAGTCAAGATCATCACTGGGTTCATTTTGCACAAAGAAATCTGGAGCCAAAAGGAGTTTGGGAGCATAAGCAGAGAGGGAAAAATTGTAGGAGGTAACACACAAATGAAAGGAAGGAACTAGTATGGCTGGAAGCCTAGGTTTCCTGTAAGAAAATATAGTTTCTCCTCCTGAATGCTGAAAAATGGCAGGAAAAATTGTGCAGAGCCTTTCCCCACTCCTCAATGCCAGGTGAAGACTTGCATGTTGGTCCTGAGCACTAGCAAGAGGATGGTTTTATTTCCTGTCTGCAAGCTGTCAGACTGCACCCACATCTTCCCTAAGGCCAAAATACTCCCCTGGTTGCTGCCCCTGGTCAAGCAAACAGGAGGAGAGAAAAAGGTTGTGATTCTCCCTTCACCCCAAGCAAGTCAACGTTCAACTTCTCAAAAGCCACACAGAAATTAAGTTGCCACCTAAATATCCTTAACAGGCTCTTGATATGACACAGGGAAAATGTGGGGAGATGAGATTTGAAGTCACAGACACAGCCCCAGCAGAAAACACACACGGGATTTGAGCTGTGGATACCTGGCAGGGTTCAGAGGCACAAAGCTGGCCATGGTGTCCCAGCCCTGGAGATGGATCCAAAGCACAACTTTTCCTGATCCACTCCCTTGCAAAAAACCCCCACCCACCTATCCATGTAAAGACCACTTTGTGACTTCGTTTTGGTCCCAAAAGAAACTTTAAGCTTCACTTTTCCCCCCCAGTTGAATGCGCTGCTGAGGTTCCTGGTAATGACACAATGATCTTTCCAAGAGAAAGTACTTTAACAACAACGAAACGGGGCAGACTTGGATTGGCACAACTTGTGGGCAAGCACAGGTAAGAGGCTTCTGAAAGACCATGAAGAAATGAAGAATCACCTCTTAACTCAGCTTGAGGGATCCAAACAAAACTGAAGGATGTCCTGAGAACATGGGGTGTGAGATTCTTGGCAGGGCAGAAGAAGAAAGGGAAGATTTTCACGGGGCATAGTGTGTGCAAAAGTGTTCAGGCACAATGCAAACTGTAAGAAAAGTGCCCACTCTGGCCAACAGGGCTTCACAAGGATGGAGCTCAGCACTTAACTCGCAGCAGTGCGGGGACCACAGCACCTCACATATCCACCCTCTCCCTTTGGCCTGGTGGCTCTGCCTCCACAACACCACTGGTGGCCACGAGAATGGCTTCACACCATGGCAGCCCTCCAGAGGGGTTGCCTTTGGGTTGCTTTTGCTTCCAAAGCACCTGCAGGTCCATTGTCAACGAAAGGAGAGCTAATTAAATATAATACATGGTTTAAAACATGAAATTCCAGCCCCATAGTCTCTTGTCCTCCTCTGTCTCATTTCTCTGCCCTCTGGGTTTTCTCTCTCCTTGCACTCAAGCTCGTATTTCTGAGTTTTTAAATATCCTAGGATGGGATAATTTCCAAACCATTCTGGTTCAGAGTGGTATCCTAATCTGCCCCACTTTGACCTGATGTCTTCTGTTCATGCAAATATTCCAGCCATCATCCCTCTCCTCCAGGGGCCTACGCAACATTTCCATGTATTATATTGGAATTATGCCACCTTCCTGACGGTTCATGAGGAACCACAGAGTAACAACTCCCACCCCCGTAATTACACGTGACCTGAAATCTAAGACAGACACAGACACGCGTTCGTTCCGCAACTCCAAAATACCTAAAGGTGTAATCACCGGTGCCATGACGTGGCAATTCCCACCTAACTCCTGTCAGCCACCAGTTACTGTGACCTCCAAATGCCCTGGCTGGGTGCTTTATTCCTGCCCCACACTCCTGAAGATTCCCAAGAAATGCAAATTGCCTACCCTGCACCATGAAATAATTTCACCTAGTGATCTTAGAAAGAGAATATGAAATAAATCTGGACTTCATAGCTCCAGTTCGCTCACCACCATGACCTCTTCCACAAATGCAGGCTTGGACCTGCTCGTTCCCCCCCTCCCCCCAGAGTAAGCTGCAAGAAAATATCTGCCAGCTAAGGATGTCCTAGAAGGAGGAAAACCTTAGCTGTCAATCTCCTTGAGAAGTTCGACGCGTGGACAGCTGGAGTGGGCAGCTGCCAGCGCTCGGACGTGGCTCGGCGGCTGCAAGAAGGCTTCACTGCCTGGGGGCTGACCAGCCCATGTCACTGAAGGGTCCCTCGCCCGTGGCCGACCTAGGAGGTGGACCACAAGGCGTGCAGAGGTCAGAATCGGTGTCTGATTCCCCTTCTGCAATGTAGGGTCTGATTTTGGCCACGGCTGCATAGCAACCGTTGTTAAGGATGTCCAAATTCTCTTTGGACTGGGAGATGCTAAAGCCGCTGAAAGAACGCTCCAGTTCCTCGTGGTCTACCGAGGGGATGGAGATGGACGTGTCGCTGTCTCTCATGGCACTCTCGTGGTGTTTGGTTGTAATGTCTTCGTTCCTCAGGTACTCCGCGCTCGCCCTGTGCCCACCGCTGTACGCCGACAAAGAGCGCTCGTGGGAGGGCGGAGGTGGGATGCGGACCAGCGAGCCGGGGTCTCCAACGGGCGAGGAGCCGTGGCTTTGCCGCTGGTAGACCTGCTGCTGGCATGACGTTGAGGGCGGGCACGTGTTGGTCGGGGCTGGCGGGGCAGAGAAGTTCTTCTGGCCCATGGAGCTGGTGGACCTGATGATCTTGATGATGCAGCCGTTCTTGTCAATGTGCTCCCTGCTGTCTTCGGGGCTGTGGTAGGGAGGTGCTGGGTCTGGCTCTTTGGACCCAAAATAAGCCTCCGTCTCCGTTGGTGGGATGCCCATCCGCTGCATGTAAATGTTCACCAGGAAGTCCAGCTTCTTCTCCATTGACTGAACCTGCAAAACACCACAGTTCCAGTGCTACACGCTTCACGCAGGTTGAAGCACATTAATATCCTGAGTACAAGCAACTTCCAACCCATCCAGGCACAAGTGTAGGGCTGGGCTTCATAGATAACCTCTGCCTACACTGACTTACAACAAACTGAAACTTGTAATAAATATTTAATTGTTCTGTTCTGAAGCACTTAATTTTCCACCTTGTTACAGGGTTTTCCTTAAGCTCCTACAATCTTTTTGACAGGTACCAAATTCCAGGAAACTGGAGCACACTCACATCCTTTCAGCTCCTTACTGCATTTGGCCCTTGCCTGGGCTCAGATGGCCATGGGGATTTCTGAGTCTTATCCTCTAGGAAGATTTTAACCTTCACCAACGCCAGCAGCTACAGCAGCCAGGCTCATGGGCTGCTTTGAAACACGCCTCGTATGGTGGCAAAAATCCAATGTGCCATTTTCAAAAATAATATAGACTTCCCATAAACTCACCAAAAAGGAAAGACTACACATCACAGACTCCAAAGTGTCTGTTTTCAAAGCAGTACTTAGGTTTCTAAGACATTCAGTGCCCTTTCATAACATCCACCTTGCTTCTTTTTCAAGATATTCTTAGCTCCTAGGTTTTTTTTTCAAAATGGTAATGTCCCCCTGGGGAAAAATAAGGCAAGAAAATAACAACACAATGCATGTAACACCCTCTGATAAGAACCCCCGCCTGATCCAATATACCTGTTTTTCAACTTTTCCAAGCCTGCCCATCATGCTGGGGTCTTCAGGCAGCTCCCCCTCTGCTGGCCCTTTGGTCCGATCCTTGTCGGTCATGGAGGATCCTCTCCCAACGATCTGGTCAACTCTACCGGGATCAGAAAATCCCCCCCCACCCCCGGAAAAGGACCTGGAGTCAGTTGGAGGCAGCAGGCGAGGAGGGCTCTGCTTGTCGCGCCTCTGTGGGACAAAGCAACAGCCTCTCTCCCAACTAACACTCCAAATTACTCACAGACACGCAGTGGCACTCAAGTGTTAATTCAGATGCAAAATTCAGAGCAGTATTAGCGGAGTTTGAAATTATCCATTTCTGTTTATACAGATAAAACCTGGCACATTATGCATAGTAAATTTACCCACTGCAAAGAATTACTTTAACTGGCTTTCTTCCAAATCAATTAACTTCTTATTTGTACTAAGAAATTATTATTTTGGGGGAAGATCAAGTTTTCTGTCTAGCATATGTCAATGGGATTTTTTTCAGTCTTTGCAGCAGTTTCCTCTCGTTGATGCAAATGTAAGTGTGTAATTTTCATGTCCATGAAAATGAGCCACTTGTCCTAAGATCCAGACAAACAGGTGTAGTGCTAACTGTTTCAGTGGAATTAAATCAAGGCTGACTTTGGTCATAACTCACCAAACATTACAAAAGTGTCTTTATCTCAATGCTACTGCAATTCACACCAGTATCATTAGATATTTTCTGTTTGCAGGGCTCCATGCCGGTAACAGCAGAGGACACTCCTGCCAAATCAGCAGCTAAAGCTACTGGGCATGTTGTTTGGTACTAAACTTCTTTACACGTTACATTTGCAATTCCTCATTCCCAGTATAAAAACACCTGGGTTGATACACAGCTCTGCATGCAGAGGAAGGAGGGCAGAGCCAGTTTGGAATCTGGAAGTCAATTTTATTTGAGGCATCAAAGAGAGAGTAAACACTGGAGCTTGATCCCTCAAAAGTCAGGGGAGCAACTCAGTTTCGGAATAGATTCTTAATGGCAGCCCTGTTTATAACCTAATTCTACTCCAGGCAAACTTTACTCTTGCATAATGCACCAAACATAAGGGTGGCGGGGGAAAAGAAGGGTTAATTAATCTGATTGAAACCAAGTTGAGGTATCTTGAGCGGAAAACTCAAAATGCTTCTTACGCAGTTCTGCCGTGTGGGCCATGGGTCCATGCACCAGGAGGAGGAAAAGGAGGGAGCTGAACACAGACAGGTAGGGGAAAATGAACAAACAAAAACCAAGGGAAGGAATGAGACGCAAGGCTATTTCCAACACAAGAGCCATCTGTTTTCTTTACATTTGACAGGGACTTAATATGTATGTTGGCTGTTGACACTGAGGGACAGATATCAGTGGGTATGGACCAGTGTGGCTCCCTTGGCTTATATTAGAGCAACAGCAGTTTACAGCACCAGAAGATCTGGCTTGAAGAGATGAAGTGGATGAGTACATCACACCAAAGACAGGAAATATAAGCTAACAGTTATTTTAGAGTTTATCTTTGATCCCAGAAGATACTTCATTTGGGCAGGGATGTGACAGGATACTGTTCTGGTTAAAAAATCATGTTTGATCCTCTGCTTAGCAATATAAGCACAGGAGTACAAGGAGCACCAAGTGCTATAATTACAAGTGTGAGGAACATGCATGCCTTATTTCTCTCTTGTAATGGGAGGAGGAAATTATTGACATTTACAGGAACTCCCCACAAGGGATGCAATTATTGACATGACATACAGCACAAGAAATCCTATGACAATGCTGTTACCATGTAAGCAAAGAGGTATTAAATTGGATACCTCGGGCTACCTTGGTTTGGATTCACAAGTCAAGGCGTAGTACAGCCACTGTACGAACTCCTCTCCTGTATGCACAAGCAAGTAGACTAGTAAAACAATGAACATGCGATTAAAGAGGGTCAAAGTCTAAATGGTACTGAAAGCTGCGGAAGGCCAGGAACAATCAGGGTGCTCTGTCCTTGTGTCCCATCTAGCACAGCACTAACACTGAAATGTGCCCACTAATGGAAGTGAGATGTCCTTCAACAGTTGCTGAGTAGAGCAGGGAGGCAGGACAGACTGTAACACAGAGAGGAAAACTGAACATTGCCATGCTACGGTGTATTCTAAAAGCAGAGATAGTCTTGTGCAACCCTATGTCTCATCTTGCAGAAATTGAGGAAGGATTTCTGCTCTCTTTCATGTCCTTAAGAGAAGAGCTATCCATAAAGTGAACCTCACATGACCCATGTGAAGCACAGGAGGCCAACTGGCACTTCACAGATGGAGTGATCACTAGTATCATGTAGAAGAGATCTGACTTCTTCCATTACCTTCAGGCTGGACACAACTTGACTGTAGACCTGCTGTGGTTTCAAAGCAGGACTGAAGCCCTTCCCAGAGCTCACCCATAAAGCATTCAGAAGCCCTCAACCATATATCATTGATACCAGAGCCCAGGAGAATTTCTGCTTGATTCATTCCCTTCATGTTTATACTTAACATAGTTCTGACCCCTGAGGTGGTCATTTTCCACAGCTCTGAGAAATCAGAGAGCCAGACCTCCCCTTGGATGCAGGGTCTGCACTGAGGATGCTTCAGTGGGCACCTGTGGGCCACTGACTTCCAAGCAGAGAGGGGAGAAGAAGGTGAACCAAGTCCTCTCTTGTTGGGATAAAGCTCTCCCACCCTGTTGCTTCCCATGGCAGAAGTTAGACCCCAGGAGAGTGTTCCTACCCACAGCAAAACACAGAGATTTCATTTGTGCCTTATCTAATACAAGAGAAGAAAGGGATTTCCTTGTGAGCTCCCAACCCACTGTACCTAGCTGAGAACCGCAAAGAGCAGGAGGTCCTTTTGGTCATTATAAAAGAATTTGAGGTTTTGTCCAGATTGGGCAGCAAAGCTCAAAAGATGAAAAAGAGAGAAAAGATGAAGAAGCAGAGGGGGACAGTGTATGTTCCTACTGCATGGCAAAGGACCACAAACCTTCTGAGATGCCAAACCCCACTTCTACACTGCATCCCATGGGGAGCCTTGTGTCTTCCCCATGCTTATTTTGGCTGTGTCAAATGCACATATGCAGAGGGAATAATTCAGCTGAAACTCTGGAAGAGTCAGCGTCATGTTTTTCCCTTCGTGGCAGAAGAGGATTCAGAGATTTCTAGTGATGCGTGACAAACTGTGCCATCTACTGTCCTTGATAGGATCTGCTGGGTCTTCGCGTAGGAGGGAGAGAGAAAAGGGGTTGCTCTTTAAAGTGAACTTTGATATCTTTCCTTCTTTCTAATGATACAAAAAAAATGTAAAGTCTTGCATAAGCCACAGTGCAGGTTTTCTCATGCTTCATTATGCTTCATGCTAACAGTGCATGCAAAGAGGTGTAATATGTCACCCTCGGGCCAGAAGCAGACATCAAAAGGTCAAACGGCTTAAATGAGATAAAAATGAAGTGTTTGGGAATATATATTCAAATATTTTCTTTTTTCTTTATCTCTTATAATTTTTTGTACACAATCCAGGCATTGAAGCCAAACCCCCTTCATCCATGTCACAGGACTGGCTACTTACCTCCTCATTTGTCAATAAAGTTTGCTCTAGACACATTTTGACCAATATCTGTTATCTAAAAATTACAGCTGAGGTTGCACCTATTTTATGTTACATCAGCTGATCAAGGGAATTTAATCCAAATTGTCTGTGTGTTCAGCATGGAGCAAACACCTTCAGCCACACCACAGCCATGGACATCCATGAGGATTCATCTACCTCTGCTGGGAGCTACTTGCAGAAACTTTTTGGCTGAACTGAGCCCTTGTCACTAGAACACCACGAGGCAATCCATGGGGTTGAGGCAGCTCATGGGACATCACTCAGTTTTGTTTCTCTGGGCAGAATTTAGCTAAAACAGGGGTCTGTGGGAGGATACAGCTGCCAAAAATTAAGGACAGCACAAGCCTTTTAATGGTGGGAGCAGAGACTTCAGCAGCCTTATGTACTCTGCTGCTTTCTGGAGCCTCTTAGCCACAGCTCAATAAAGAAGAAATGAGAAAATTCATTTAAAAAGGGAGCAATTAAGAAAAAAAGTCTTAATGTCCAAGGAGCCCTGGGGGCATGTGCAAACAGATTTTTAATCTGGCCAGCAGTATTAGAAACTGTAAAAACAAGGCGGGAAAAGTCATTAACATTAAGGTGATACAGCAACATACTTGGATTGAATAAAGTAAATGTCCCAGTTTGAGGCCTCCTCCCCTAGTATCCATCACCTTTTCTGTGTGTGAGGCACAAGCTTTCAGAGGAAAAGCTAGTGAAGGCTTGTTGCACGCCTAATCTTATACGTTAATACAACAAAATCCATTTGAAGATGTATTTTTATTTTAAAATCAAAATCTTTCTGCAGATAAGAAAGCTATTTCATTTTTAAAGATTAGTTTTGGGTCTCATCATTTGGCAGGGAAGAGAAAAGGGAAAAATGCTTTTCTTAGAACATCTTTTGTCCAAGCATAAAGCTTGGGACTTCTGGAAAATTACTTTTTTTTTTTTTTTTTTTTTTTTTTTTTTTTGATATTTGACCTAGCTGAGTGGGAAAAGGTAAGCTTTCAATATTCCTTTTACTCACATTCCTCTAGTGAAGATTACTCAGAGTAGCCTAAGTAAAAATCAAGAGATCTGTCATGTATTAGCCCTTATGGAAGGCAAGTATATTCAGGGAAAAAAATATTTGAGGCTAAGCTTGCGTATTTTAAAAATCATCTAATATTTGTGCATGGAAAATGACTTTCTGGAAAATACTTATACCTGTCTAGGGCTCCAGTGGTCTCAATACAAGGTGAGAGAGAATACGGCTCATGGCCCTGCTGACTAGACCTCAGAATGTCCTAAAATGGGAATTTCAGTGAGAATATGTTCCTTGTTGCATCAGCTTCAGGTATGGTTTTACTTAAAGAGAGAACTTAAGAGGGGCAATAAGAAAAATCTCGCTGTGTGACGGAGGGCTGGGTTTGGCTCCTGCTCTTCTTTTTGCTTGAAAAATCAGGATTTTTTTTTTTTTTTTTTAATATGAGTCCTGTGGCTGTGATATTTTAACACAATTTTTTCCTCTGTGGTCGCTAGAGTTGAATAAGCAAGAAAAAGAGACCACTGTGTTCATCGATATGAAACACTTCATTCTTACTTTGCCCACTGAAGGAAACTCATTTCATAGTACAAAGGCACAAAGAGCGGCAGTCGTTTGCTTGTATGTGGAGTGTTTCATCTTTTTGAAAGCAGATCATCCAGTTTATATTGGCTTTGTGGGTAAATATTCCACCTTTTACACTTGAAGATAGCTTGATAAAATACGAGATTTTAAAAAGATACAATTTTACTTTCTAACACCTAGAAGAAGACTGAAAATAGAAAATACACTAGCTGAAGAAATGATGCTTATTGATGACTATATGAATGTCCCTTTTTTTTTTCCTTTGGTTTGCCCAGTGTGAAAGCTCATTACTGAAAGTAAATCAGAGCATATCCAGAGTAGCAACAAGCCCTTCTCAGTCATGATTTAGCAAGCTGCACTGCTAAGTGATAAATGCCGTCATATAACTGGCATGAAAGGGGTTTGACATTAAGCAAATGAAAAATCCAGAGAAAGCGGCGTTTTGGTGAATCCTAACCTAGGCGAGTATTGGGGAGACTCTTTGGAAGAATACATGGGTCCTTTGGTTGGATACTTCTTATGCCGGGGAGTTGAAGGGGGTGGGGGACCCACAATCATATCTATCCTGGCAAAGTAAATAAGAAAAAAGACACCAGCAAAATGCATAATGAAGCAACACGTAGAGAAAAGTTGGTCAGAAAAGTTGCAGAAAGAAACAACCAAAAAACAGAATGACAGAGAGAGAAAGAGAGAGATTTTGAAAATATACTTCCCTGGAAACAGGAGGCTCTCTCCTACCACCGGCTGCCGGTGAGAGCCAGAGTCTCACCCACCCCCGGGAGAGATTTGGAGGTTTAAGCACCACTGAAACATCATTAGGAGATCCCCCCGCCCCAGATATAATAGGCAACATGCTTCACCCTCTGGAATATATTTGCATATGTGTAGCAATATCCCATTGAGGCAGCTGGGTATGAAACAACAGATATTCATTCTCCTCTCAGTTCCAGTGCTACGTAACACATCCTCAGCTAGCTCAGAAAAGCATGAGCCATTGGGAGTCGGTGAGATACACTGCGGGACTGTATAACTCAATGAATGGGAGACATCCATGGTTGGCAAGGTGTCAGCATGAGACACGAGACAGTGTGAACACAACACTGCAAAGAGCACATTACAGACACAGTGACAGAGGCATTAATGATTAAAGAGGAAAGTGCATGTAAACACCCCAGAAATTTGCTTGAATGCAGCTTTAATCCACCAAAGCCCTGGCTACGGGAGCTCACAGCCAGCCCTGCTGAGCTGAGCTGGCAGGGAGAACACGGTGCTTTGACTGCTGAAGGAAAGGGGAATAAAAATATCTGTTCTCCGAGGTGCCCCGCGACGACCTCCCTGGGCTCCACCATATGGGCGCACTATATTTCGAGTGCTGGTTAGTCATGCCCCAACACTGGCCACGGCCACCCCAGGCACACACCTTGTCTACAGGTGCCCCTTCCAGTTGTACTGGGCAGGTGACCATGGGACCTCCTGGTGCTCACCTGGATATTGATGATGAGTGCTTCGAAGGATGACCCCAAAGGAGTCTGCTCCCATCACCGATCTCCTGCTCAGTGGGGACAGTGAAGCTCCCTGGTAGCCCTGGATCCCAAATCCAGGTACTTCACACTTTTGAAGCAGCTCCTGGTCCTCCTGACTTCCCTGCGACGGGGTGGATGGCAGCCCTAGCCTAGTCCAGCCCCAGCAACACCTCAGCCTCGCAGTTCCACAGGTACAGCTAAGAGGAATATTCAGTCTGGTCTCTAAAAGCTGCAATATCTTACCCCAACCACCCCAAAAAGCAGCCGATCAAACCACACTGCCTTTGCAGCACATCGCCTTGAAGGATTGGCCACGGGAGACTTGGGTGGATGGTGAGGCAATCTGCCACACCGGCTTGGGGTACTGAAAACTCAGGTGTCCCACCTGCAGCCAGTGGAGATGACAACCCCAAAGGCTCACTACCCACCGCACAGGCAGCCTGGAGGCCTCTTGTTTCAGGTTATTCAAGTTAGGAAGTATCAATCCCCTCCTCCTCCTCTTCCCTCTCCAGATTCAGCTACACATCTTGGATCTATAATAATTGAATTTTTACTAAACAGGAGCGAGGGGCCTAAAGAAAGGAAATTCTCCAGGATATTTTAGTCTCCGTCACAAGGGAGAATTTACCTTCTGGCTGCATAGCTGGAAATGGAAAACACACAGCGTGCAGCAACGCTGAGAAAGTTACCTCTGCTATCAAAACTATGATATCAAAAATAGCAGAGTTAAAATGATCTCTGAGACATTAATGGCAGAGAAGAGATTCCTCTTTTTCCTAAGACAATTTTCCTATTCCATTCCTGGGGTTCGTATTAGCTATTTGCATACCCAAACACATTTTTTTTGCAAATTTGCTGACACTACCAGGGACCTAGATGGGTTTAAAATTAAAGGAAAACTTCCCCAATGGCTTCCAGAGGAAACTGGGCTGTTACGGTCATCAAGGGAAACACTTTCATTCTCCAAGTGTAAAAGTAAATGGTGTATTATTTTGACTGAAGATAGCCTATGGCCAAGCCCTGCCTCTGTTCAGGATATCCTTTGAGCTCAGCAGAATTGAAGCTACTTCTGCTGAGCTGACACAGCTGGGGGGGTGTTGGGGGTTTGGGGTGTCTCATTTTCAATGTGGGATATCAGGGCTGAGGGAGTAGTCAGACAAAAAGGTTTAGCCCAGATCCTCTATTCAGGGGACCAATTTCATCTGTCATTTTTTTTGCAGGAGGAAATTAAATTTGAAATGCCCTTCTTGGTTCCATTTGTCCCTTTTTCACATTTCTTCCCCTGTTAAAACTAACTCATCTCCCCCTAAAATCTGAGCACAAAAGCCGAAATGCAGCTTGGCTAAACCACACCTACGTTGGTGGGCTTGGATGAGAAATCCCCATCTGCATGTATTTTCAGCAGACTGTGGCATCTGAGGAGGGATTCCTCCTAAGACGGCTCAGCATCCAAACGGTGGGAGGAAGCTGCTGCTTCCTTGCTGTCCTGTCTGCCCGTACCAGCAGGGTCAAAACCAGCACACCAGATTTTATTTTGTAGCACTCCCAGAAAGGTACCGAATTAGCCACATCAGCCTTAAGACTGGGGCACCAAACCTTTGCTATCCTGCCAGGAGGACCACAGAGATACCCACCTGCCCTACCTATGAGATATACTCTAAAGACAGAAACTCCCCGAGTGAAGTAGGAGAATGAGCCGTGATTTTTGTGTGTCTGTCCCAGGGTGGGCGCTAAGGCAGTTTTAGTGGCATAACACCACTGTTTGCAGTCCCTGTCCTGCTTACCCCTGTGGGTTCCAGCCACAAGCATTGATGTTTTCCTTGAGGCTTTCTCTTAGGAAGAAAAAGAGTAAGTTGTAGCTGCAAAGGAAAGTGTCTCTCTCCTGGCAACGCCTTCACAATGAAAAAAAAAAAAAGCAGAAAAACCCCAAACAAACAAACAAAACCCCAAAACAAACAAACAAACAAACAAACAAAGAAAAAAAAAAAAAAAAACAAAAAACAAGCAATGAAAAATGAAGCAAAGAGAGGGGTCTCTTGCCTGGCCTGAAGGTTTTTAATTCGGGAGAGCATGTCCAGGTGACCGGCTGAATACTGCTCGATGACATCCATCACGTCATAGGGCCGAAGGCTCTCCTTAAACTTGCGCTTGGAGACGAGAAATCTCATAATGCTGCAGGACATGGAGAGGAAAGGCAAAAAATAGTCCCTGGGCTGCGGCCTGATCTCCTTAGTGGCAGCTAAAAAACACTGCAGGGAGCTGCTTTGCGAGGAAAATGGAATAAATCCCAACCCTGTGGGTTTGGGAGAGGATGCAGCAATAGGAGAGGGGAAAGGGATTGCGGGGGCTCGTGGCTGACACCTTGTCTGCTGTGGGGGGTCCCCGCTGCCCCTTGGACTATCAGTTGTGCGAGTGTCCTCTCTGCGCTGGTTTTATAAATGTCAGCATTACATCTCAAAGCTGGTGAGAGCGATCAGTTGGCGGCATCCCTGCAGGGGATTTTCCTGTTTCTCCATTTATTCCTTCCCTCAGCAAAAAGTGCCCTTTCTGGCAGAATTTTCTGTAAAGGACAGCAAGCCACCCAGGGGAAAAACAGCCTGCAGCACAGACATTTCACCATTTGCCACCCCTAGTTGGACTTTAAATTTATTTTTTAATTTTTCCCTATTATTTGTTTTTCCGGACTGCTTTCCCCGTCTCCCTCTCTTACCACACTGCCCTGATGCTGACTTTCAGTCCCGGCGTCAAATCTTCCGTCACAAACTCGCAGTTGCAGCTTTTGTTCTCATCGGGAATATCTTCTCCGGGGAGGCTCGCCTCTGGGTTTGGGAGGAGGGAGGAATAAAGCCAACGCGTTACTATTTCCCGTGCTGGTGCTGTGCAAGTAAAGACGAATCAGATTGCAAACAGCAACCCCGGGGGAAGCACCAGAGATATCTTTGCTGAGCATCCAAATGAGAGCATTTCCCAAGACGTGTTAAGATGACATCCAGCAATGCCAACTGCAGCTCTCAACCATCTCCATCTGCCCGACTCTTCCTCCTTTCCCCATCCCAATATACATAAATGCATACATTATCGTGGGTGTCAGCAGGGGGTTTCTTATCTCTTATTATACTCCAAGCTAAAGGACTGGAAGGAGAAGGAGACCTACGTGAGCACCCTGGCTGGCAGCTCTGCCCTTCTTAGGTGGGGAAGGAGAGGATGTCGGGGCCAGCTGGGGATTTGGGGGCTGGCATGGCACCCCAAGCCCTCACCTTCTGAGTTCTGCCGTGATGCTGCTCCCTTGATGCGGAAAGCTTGCCGGGCTCGGCTCCGGTCTCCAAAGCTCCAGCTCTTGGGCACTTTGCTTGGGCTGTCCTCGATGCTCTGGTCAGCGCTGGGGGACCTCCTGATGCCCTGAGCCTGTGGAGAGCCTTTCCCTTTGGTGCCAGCACCGCGGGGACTGGAGAAGACACGATCTTTCAAACTGACCTTCTGACTGTTCAGAGAAACACGTTGAAACAAAGACAAAAAGGAGACAGCAGGAGGAGTCATTCTGGAAACCACGCAGTCCTTCCCCACCAGCCATTAGAAACCAAGAGCACTTCCAAGCAGCAGTGAGATGTAGTTTTGCTGTTGGCTTTTTTTTTTTTTTTAATATATTTTTATTTTTTTTATTTTTTTTTTTTTAAGAAAGCGTTGTAGAAATGTTTCCGCCATAATGAGTGAAATGGGAATGATTATTAAGAGAGAGAAAATAATGAGGACTTAAACAGAAGCCCCTTGTGGGATGCCAGGGCTGGCGGGACAGAATGACATTAAACAATGAGGTTATGATTCCTTAAATCACTGATCGGCTCCGATCACGAGCAAGGAAGCTTTTCTTTCACAACTGCCTTCCAAAACCCTATATCTAATGAGAAAAATACTAATTAAAAATGCCTTTGTCTTAAACTTTTAACTTTCTTAGAAACACTTCACTTTTGGTGCTCAGACCTGTCCTTTCCCTTTCTTCAGCTCCTTTATTTCCTCCCTCTGTAAACACCATCTGCCCTTTTTATAAATTCTGAAGAGTTCCTCTTTTTCCAGTCATATATTTAAATACTTAAATATGAACACCTAAATGTCCAACTCCTTTGTATCCTGTAAAGAGTCAGTCTAAAGCAAGCTAACATCTATCTGAAGGTCTGCTGTGGGTGTCATAAACATCCAAAGAAAAATTTTACATCTTCAGAATATGGCATTTTATTTCTGCTTTTCTATTAGAATCCCATTGTCTTAAAACCTTGTAATTACGGTTTGAAAAGAAGAGCTCTCCAGAAACAGAGACGACCTCACTGAGAAATAGTCTACTGACCACCCAGCTCTAATTATTTTAAAAACTCTGAAATTTGTAATTAAAAACTTTCACCCAGATGAAGATGATGAATTTTCACATTAAATTGTAAAACAAAAAGATTTTGAGAATCTTTATGAAAGGGCAAACTTTATAGAGATAGCATTGGGGAAACCAAACTGCAAACAGTTTTGGATAATTTGGTATTTTCTGAATAGCAGATGATTATTAAAATACACTAATAGAGGTTAGTCAACCACTGCAAGGCATCTGCACATATAGCAAATATTTTATATACAGGTAAGTCAAAACTGAGTAAAACCATGGATTTAATTCCCAATACTCTGTACCATTGCAGTAGCCACTTATCATTTTGCTGCGAATGCTCTGACTCAATTTGCAGGAAGAACATTGCAGGAATTTTGATCTCCACAGCAGATTTCCAGGTCACCAACCAAAGACCTGTTTTTTTTTCTGTCTCTCAACAACACCGTCTTAAAACTCAGAGCCAAACAGTCCTCCTTTGCCTTCAAAACTGGCAGGAGGTTCTTCAATCAGAACTTAGCTGCTGATATTTGAAGGAAAGCAAAATGCAGCTCCCTTTTCCCCAGTCGTATCAGCTGTACTGTGCTGACAGGAACAGACATTCGTTTTCGTCAGTAAAGAAGACGTGACTCAAAGACACACAGGGATCAGATTTGTCGAGTAAGAAGGTGCTATTTTTGCAAAGGCACTTTACATTGCGAGATGTCCAACGTTTACTGGGAGAGAAAGGTGCTTAGGCAGCATTTTCCAGAGTTGCAGATCCTGGGGAGGCACCACTGCCCTGAAGCAAGGCCCAGGGAACAGGGAGAGCATCTCCTGGGCCGCAGGGCAGGGTCATCTGTGGCCATCGGCTGGGTAACAATTTCACTTTGAAAGATATATTTGAGAGAAAATAAAATTCGGTTATGACCAAGTTAGGAAAGGCAGAATTATTCCAATTAATGATGCGGTTTTAATTCAGATAAGCACTGGAGATTTCATTGCCAGTGTGCTGCCCACCTGCAGGGTCTTGTCTGAAAGCCACGGGACCAACAGATGTTCAGCAGAGCTGAAAATCAGATCAGAGGTACAAATCCATACAGGAATCTAGGAACAAGCATGTGCCTAAATACCTTTCTGGATGTAAGCCTTAGTCACTAATGCTACCAAAATCATCATACATAATGAGCCAAATGTTCAAAAGCAATTCTCATTCTGTGCTTCTTGGATTAGAAACCAGATTGAAATTTTATTTGACATTTGATCCTAAATAGGCCAATTGGATCATTTTTTTTTCCTTTACTTTAGTTGATTTTATAGAAGAATATTCCTGGAATGTACTGCATGTCAGTAGTACTAATACTTTGAACTACGTGGTCTTTTATTTAAAAATAAGATTTAGAAAAAATGAATCAGCAACACATCAATATTCAGAATTCAAAGCAATCTCTTTGTGCCTCATCTTCTGCTGAGTTGCTCCCATCACTGATCTCAGCATAAACCCAATTGCCTATCACTGAGTAAAGCAGGGTCTTTTATTTGGGGCACCTCTTCCACTCCCACAATGAATGCACTGCAAATGTTTGCAAGAATCACAAAAGGCAAAAAAGAAAGCGTTGAACTCAGTGAGGATTATGAGTGAACAGTTTCAAGCATGGGGTGAAACACTTTCACACATTAAAAAAATCTCATAGAAATCTGATGAACAATTAAGATCTGGGTGGGTTTTGTTCCTGAGTACTCACTACTCAGAAGAAAAGCCAACACCTGATGTAACTTCTTTGTTTTAACATAAATGACATGAGACAACATGAACAATTAATTATTTTTTCCTTCTGCCATGCAATTCTCTCATTGGAAATGACACCTGGAATCACATGCAAGTACAATCCCTGCAGAGGAGGATGTTGTTGGGGTCTGCAGGAGCTGGCAGGAAAGAGTCCAAAAGAAATACAGACATATATAGAGATATAAGTTATCAGCTAATCCAAGATCATGTTCTCATTCAACCAGAAAGTCATGCAGAGTGACGCGGGGCGTCTCGGAGAAGTGGCATTTAGATGTCACTCAAGTAGATGGTGAATGAGCCTCGGTTCAGTGACGGGTGTATGTGGTGGTGACGTGAACATGAGGAAAGCAGTAATCCAGCCGCACACGACAACGTGAACTGAAGCTTGCCACCGTGACAGCCAAGAGCGGCGCCAGCACAGGCGCCCTGCTCGTGCCAGGGGGAAGGGAAGGGAGAGAAAACTGTGGCTTGGAAACCAGAGACAAAGCTTATGGGAAGCCACAACAGCGTGATAGGCCGTACTTTAGTTCCTAGGTCTTCATAACCACTTTCAGTTGCATCTTTTCACAGCGTATTTGATAATAATTAAAAAAAAATATGTTTCCAGGCTGACTTTGGGGAAGGTTTACAAAACTTTCAGCTTTTGACTTGAATTTAACAAAGGGTAGAAACTGAGTTGATTTTTCTCTGCTGCCAGTCAGATAATGAGAGCCCATGCTGGAACAACGCCTGAGGACCAATGCATGGTCCCACAGCTGACAGAAAGACGCTCACTGCTCTAGTGGGCTTTGCATTTAAGTTCCTTTAGGTCCAACAGCCCAGCACTCAGCAGCAAAACGCATGAGAACTAACCTTCGAATGAGGTGCCATCAGCCTCCTCCGGATTGAGCCCCTGTTTGAAACCCTCTGGTTTGGGGTTCATTCCACAGTCCTCTATAGTATTATATCAGCACTTCTAAAAAATGTGCACTCATTACATTAGCAGTAATTTTGGTACAGTAAAAATTATCACTTACAATGTCTTGGCATTGATTTTAAACTATGCTTGAGCAATTTTTCATTTTCTCCTTTCGTTTTGTAGGCAGCAAGTGTTAGCCAAACTGAGTTGGACTAGTATGGACTCAGATCCATCTCTGCATATGAACTCAACCAGCAACAGCATTCATTCTTCTGAGAAGCTACATCCAGGAGAAAGAGGTTATCTCCTGTAGAGAAATGAGGCTGTTTTTTAATTCAGAATTTGTGCTGAGCTCATGGCACATGAAAACAGCTTGTTAAAACCAGGCAGGAGTGCCAGGAGTGAATGACAGCCTTTGTGGCTATCACTGGGCTCCAGTCTGGTCACAGGTGTGAATAAGAGGCAGAAACCAATTACTGGAGACATGAAGGAAAGGAAAATACATCTGTGTGTGCAAAATTTGCCATGACTAGAGCAGAAATCAAGAGAGGACCAGGCTCAAGCCTGGTTTGCCTCCAGTGACTTCAGAAAAGCCATTGCAAAGGTGAATTCAGCCCAGAGAATGGAGATTCAGGAATCAGAGCAACCTGGGCATAAGGAAAACCAAAGGTCAGCCAATGATCAATGTCATGGTGAGTAATCCCTCTCCTCTTCCTTGCCCACAACCACGGTGTTAGACCTGGGTTGAAGGGATTCACTGAAATCATAACTGGAAAGACCAGAGTTGCACCATCCCTGCAGCCACCACATAAACCTGGCCAAGCGTGGGGCCTCGGGCGAGCGAGGGGTCACTGGAGCCAGACACACGTCTTTAACCTTGGCCTTTGGTGTTTTGCAGCATTGCTGTTATACCATCACCCCTCTCTTCCTAACACACAGCCTTCTTCTTCCCCGAACTGATGTTGAGCACTGTCAAACACCGCATCACACATATTCTGCATCTTCCAGCAACCTTTTGCTATTTGCCAGCTCAGCTGTTTTGCATTTCAGGAGCAAAGCAAAGCAGCTAAATTGCATCTTCAAGCTGGCTGATGATTCCTAAACAAGACTTTGAGAAATATTCTACACCCAGACCCGCAGGCCAGTCAAGGGCTCTGCAAACTCCTTTCCTTCACTGGTCTGTGTGCTGTTTTTTCCCCACTGTCAGGTCTTTGTGGTGCCTTCATCTCTCTGAGCAGACGCCAGGAAAGTCTCTTACAAAGCAGAATATGATAGACCTGATAATCTGGCTTGGTATAGTTACATTATTGTCTAAAAACGCATGCATTATTGCATTTATTGACTAGAGATCATTGGTTTAGTACATTAAGAAACCATGGCTTCTAAGGAGTTTTCTATTAATTTACCTACATTGTGTTTTCCATGATTGCCTCATCATTTACTGTTGTTTTG